GGCGGACGAGAACCAGGACAGATGACGCCTACGACACCTGACTCGGATTCTGATGGTTCAGTGCGTCCACATCCAGGTGCCTCGTCGTTCCGACCGTCTCCTACGGTGGTTCATGGACCTCGGGAACTTCTACAAGAATTCACCATTGCACTTCGCAATGCACACCGTGAACCTTTCACGGCATGGACACAGGGTGAGCTGGATGAGATGGTGCGACGGAAGAAAGACAAGGATTCCAGGCCCACCTACAAAACCATTGCTCGGTTCCTTCAGAAGCCCATTGAGGAAGTCAAGCAGGCATGGAAGGTCTATCAGCAACTTGAGGCTCGCGGCTAGGAACCCGGTCATCAAATGCAGCAGCGACCACAGGAGGACTAAATGGTAGGCCGTGGCGGTGTATTCGGCTAGCGCTGCAGGTTGTTGCGACGGTTGGGATTGCAGTCATTATTGATCACATGAAATTTGCTTGCTTGCACTTGACTGGCATTTTACCAGGGTAATATTGCTTGCCGTTGTGGGTGTTGCCGCTGACGTGAATTGAATGCATGACTGAGTTGCTCAAATCATGTCGGAACAAGTCGTACAGACGTACATTACTTGGACCCATGGAGCGCAGCCGACGTGGTTACAATTTCACGGACCTGGAGCCCTGCTTGACAGACCCATTCGGCAGACTACGTCACCTCCGCCCCCACCAAGTTTCCCACTGCTTCTTCCACCTCCGCCTCCTCCACCGCCACCACCACCGGTGATTCTACACCCACAGTTTATGCCCTCAGTACGGAGCCCCTCGATCTCAGCTCCTCGCGGACAATCCTGCCCTGCCACATCGAAATCGCAGCGCACACGCCGCTCGATCTACAGCACTGACCATTCCCGTGATGAAGAGCTACGCAGTCCAGGGCGTTCATCCAAACGATCTCGGACAGCATCCGCTTCTGCACCGCGGAGATCTCGGCGGCCCTTTACCGTGTTCCCCTCCAAACGTGCTGGCCGTCCATCGCTGTCCCCATCGGCAAATTGCAAGCATTACTGTCATGCCTTCCTGCGCCATGGGCGGAAATGTCTTTCCCCTTGTGATCGTAGACGACCAGGACATTATCATTGCAGGTGTGCGCGGCATCAACGGCGGTGAAGCTTAGGCGTCGTATATTACAAACCTCGCTGCTGTGTCTCACCTTGAGTTTGAAAAGTTGCCTTGCATCCCTTCAGCTGCGCGCGGTTGTCATTGCATGTGTGTCTTCGCCGCAGATTTTCGATTGCTTTTAGCGGCCGCGCGATAGCCTGTCTTGCCGCTATGAACCCTCAATATTTCGAGTACCAGATCGACAGAGGAGTGGAATGGATTCGAATTTACTCACCGGGCACGTGGCGACCCGTTCCCGATGATGCTCCAGTGCTCGACCCGGTCTACGCTTCCACGTATCGGGAGTGGCGCAGGTCATATCGCTTCCAAGTGTACTGGTCCGAAGACAGCACCGGAGGAACAACAACGGATCCCATTGTCACGCCCAGTTCGTATGTGTCCTACCACGTGTGGGAGTACCGAGACTGGCAAACACGAGGGTATCAACGACTTGGAGCTCCTTTACCAGCCATTGGACTCGCGATGCTCGTGAATGCAGACGCCAATTCCTCGGTGGACTCATCGGTTCCGGATGGGGCGTGGCGAGAGCCGTCACCACCACCATTCTATGATCCTTGGAACGATTCGGAGTGATACTTGAGCAACATGTCGGATAAAATGACGCGGTTGTGCTTGCTTTGTATGCGATTCCATGTTGGGTTGTCTTGCTTGGTGTTGTGCGTTCCGTCTCCAGCTGTTCGCCGCTTTCATTTGACTCTGAGCGGTTTACCTGGTTGATATGTTCAATTGTACAATGTATAGCGCAGCACGATGGGTCCTGCCTCGCTACTTTGACTACGACATCGTCAATGGCCCCGCGAATACGAGTGTAGAATGGATTCGGATCTATGTACCGGGTCCGTGGCATCCAGTCGCCGAGAACACCTTGGGACCAGCCCCGGATGACTCAACCACCTATCGGGAATGGCGCAAGGTTTACCACTTCGAAGTGTATTGGCCGAGGGATAGCACAGGCGGCACCAATACAGGTGCTGTTTCGCAGCCGGTATCTTATGCATCCTTCTATACTTGGCATTATAGAGACTGGGTCACCAGGGGATACCAACGGCTGGGTCCCCCACACCCTAGCATTGCGCGGCCAGTTTTCGCTTCGGGCGCACCGGACCTCATGTACGCTGGATTGACCTCTTCATCGGCATCCTCCAACTCGGATGGTGGCTGATGCTCGTCCTCGCCTTCCTGGGGAGTCTGTTCAGTTCAATTCGATTCGGGAGATTGACTTCGATACCGGAGCCGTGCATTGCTGCAAAAGTGATTTCTTGCACTGTGGCAGTTGTGTCTCTTTCAGTAATTGTTGTCTGCAGCCGTACACCTATCAATTTGTCTTTCCGGGTTTGCGTTGTCATGCCGTGGCTGGAATGGTGTCCGGATCCTCAACAACCAGATGCCCAGTGGGTCAAGATCTTTCATCCGGGATCATGGACTCCACATGAAGAACATGATGCTCCACCTCCACCGCACACGTATAGAGAGTGGAGGGAGTTCTATGCTCCCAACCCGGACCAAGACGGTGAGCAGCTCAATGTCACCATGTGGTACAAAAGAGACTGGGCCACAGAGGGCTATCGGAGAGTCGCTGCCCCTCAAGCTGGTCATGACTTTGATTCTATGTCTTTTCCTGATCATCACAGCGTGGCCACGCAATCCGCGGCATTGAGTATGTCACCGCAGATGTTAGAAGCGATCCTTAGATCCTCGGATGCGGCGGATTTCTCTACCGAAGAACTGACTCGTCTCCAAGAGGGGATTTCTCAACAACTGACAGCTCGCGCACGTCACGCTTCCCAACTTCATCAACCTGTACGTGCATCACGTGGAATCACACCATCGGAGACGGTTGGGGTCTCCGACCCATACCGGCCTGTTAATCCTTCCGACAGCTGCAAAGCCAAGGCGAGACCTATCTTCGAGCTAAATGAGGACTAGACGCACGCGAGTGGGGTAGCGTACAAAATAAGGGTGGTTTTCACACTTGCATTACCTTGCTTGGTTGTTGCTTGTACATGGTTGTGCATGGTGCCTGTTCCTCTATCAGCTGGATCGGAGCCCGCGATACGCCTTGCCTCTTACTTCGACATGGACATCGAGGATTCGAAGCAGCACCCATGGCTCGAATACTCGGTCTGGCAGGATCAGGAGTGGGTGCGGATCTACACTGCAGGACAGCCTCAGCGATGGCACCACGGAGAAACTGTACCTGATCTACCAGACAATTCTTTTCGGGAATGGCAGCGGGTGACTGATCCCAATGGGCGCACTGGTGAGCACGGTCAGGCATGGACCATCCGCGACTGGCAGCATCAGGGATACCAGCGCATTCTGTCTCGAATGGAGTCCTTCACAACTCATCATTCGCATGATCAATCTCTTGGTGAAGTTCGGAATTCCGATGCCATTCCAGTTGAGGAGACGTTCACCTATGCTACTCCGTTTTCTCATGGTGATCGCTCGACTGCTTCACAACTCGCTTCAGTCCTCTATGGCGACACTCGTAATGCTCAACGTGGTGATCTCTCGTTCCCGTCTTCTGAGCGGTTTAGGGCTGTTTCTCGTTCCCCTCGCCGCGGTGGATTTTTTGGTCAACGATAGGGACACGGGGTTGAGCATGTGATCTTCCTGCGGAAAAGGAGACTCCTCGCCCCTCATTGAGGGGCGTGTGTGTGCGGAGTGACAGAATGCCCTGTCACCACCCTTTCGGTTTCTCAGCAGGGGGGCAGTGGATCGCCATCACTCACTGCCCAACGAAGACAGTGATGGTTTGGTCGTGAAATCCGGAAGGGACGCCTTCTGGACGTACCTGCAATTTGAGAAAGTCGTGATGCTCTGAACGTGCTTTTGGTCCCCCCCTGAACCGCTGTTGCTTCCTTGTTTCCCTGTTGAAGTAACTACAGGGAAGCCAAGTGACCAGCAAGCCGATGGGGTTTGTCCCCAGTTGTACTCGAGACTCATCAGTTGTACTCGAGACTCATCAGTTGTACTCGAAAGATTAGCACTCTCCATTTGGAGTTTAAGTGTGTGTTTGTGTGTTTGTGTGTTCGTGTGTTTGTGTGTTTGTGTGTTTGCATGTTTGTGTGTTTGCGTGTTTGCGTGTTTGCGTGTTTGCGTGGTTGTGTGGTTGTGTGGTTGTGTGGTTGTGTGTTTGTGTGTTTGTGGGGTTGTGCGGTTGTGCGGTTGTGTGGTTGTGTGGTTGTGCGGTTGTGTGGTTGTGTGGTTGTGTGGTTATGTGGTTGTGTGGTTGCGTGCGTGTGTTTGTGTGTTTGTGTGTTTGTGTGTTTGTGTGTTTGTGTGTTTGTGTGTTTGTGTGTTTGTGTGTTTGTGTGTTTGTGTGTTTGTGTGTTTGTGTGTTTGTGTGTTTGTGTGTTTGTGTGTTTGTGTGTTTGTGTGTTTGTGTGTGCATGTGGTTGTGTTTGTGTGTTGTGTGGTGGTGTTGTGTGTGTTTGTGTGGTTGTGTGGTGTGTGGTGGTGTGGTTGTGTGGTTGTGTGGTTGTGTGGTGTTGTGTGTTTGTGTGTTTGTGTGTTTGTGTGTTTGTGTGTTTGTGTGTTTGTGTGTTTGTGTGTTTGTGTGTTTGTGTGTGTGTGCGCGTTGTAGCGTAACCCCAAAATTGCATCACGGCTTTGCCTTAAGGGCAAGAAAAGGAGGGTACCATCTAAAAAAGAAGAAGCAGCATCACTTTATTGTGTTTGTTTGCTTGGCTCATGTTCCTCACTCTTAGCGCTGTTTTTTTCAGTTTTTTTGCTTTTTTCGGTTCATTCTCTGCGCTTTGGCAAAAACAACCGCGCGCGGCATCTGTTCTCGGCTCGCGGGGAAGCCGCGCGCGGGGAAGTTCCGCGCGGCGTCGCGGGAGTTCTGGAGGCCCCGCTTCGAGACCTGGGACCTGGAGGACGTGCCGCCGGCGATCCTCGACTTCGCGCGGCAGCAAGGCGCCGAGCAGGCGGCGGGGACGGGTGGCGGGTTTCGGCGGCGGGCTTCGGCGGCGGGTGTCGGCTTCCACGGCTTCGGCTTCCGCGGATTTCCGCGGTTCGGGGTTCGAGTTCGAGGGGAAAAGTGCCAAAAAGAAGGTCAAAGCTCCATGGGGCTGAAGCTATTGGTTTGGGTTGTTTTGGTTGGTGGTTTGGATTGAATTGATTTACAGCCATGATCAGGTATCCTTGAGTTGGTGGTTTGGATGGATTTGGGTGTCCCCCAATTGGTGGTCGGATTGGTAGTTTGGATTTGATTTCAAGCCCTGGATGATCGGTATCCGCAAATTGGTGGGTTGAATGGGCGATTTGCATGTGAAGGCCTGGTTCTTGTAGAGGGATGGGAAACATGAGGTTTGGGTGTTTCTGATTCTGAGGGTACCCGGCGAGTTCCCTTTGCCTCGGTGATATTTCGGGCCTTCACTAAAAGCTAATTTGCATCCATCAAATGACTGGCTTCCCTTGAGGGGCTGACATGAGCCAATTTTGTGGGCCTTCCGACCTTCCAGATTTGAAATAATCGTAGTGGAGACATTGCACACAAAGTCTTAAAAGGCCAGTTCTCAGGGAATGAGAAGTAATAAAAAGCATGCCGGGTGTCTCCTTTCGCTTTATTTCCAGCACCCGGAAGGTCATTCCCTACTGAGCACAAGCAAGATCAACCCCTGTTATTCAGCGGTTCCCTTCGTCATCAGTCATTGCGCATGAGGAGTTTGGGTTTTGGGATTCAATTCTGAAATGTCACGTTGCAGTGACCAAACCTCCTGTGTGTTTCCCTTTTCGTGTGTCGGTGTGAGCAAATCTCAGCAGTACCCTTGAAAAGAAGCGTCAACACAGCAAAACCAAACACAGCAAAACCATCAAACGAAACGAACGAACAAACAAACACGTCCAAACGACGGCAAAAGCGAGAAATGACAGCGACATACCCCAGAGACGCTAAAACCCATTCTCTTTAAGATGGGATCCGCCCCAAACCGCTAATTTCGGGGAACCCTTTATATAGTGGCAATATCGTGGCTGCCAAAAAAACGCCTGGAAGTGGTGGTGTTGGAGGTAATCTCTCTCATAAGTCAGTTTTTTTTCCTGGAATTCCTGGCTGGTGGAACGTAGCGGACCCCTTAGGTTCTCTCGTCTCTTGGTCCGGTTGGTCCCCCCCCCCCCGGGCCCCGCAGCTCCTCCTCCCGGACTCGACCGGACGCGTCGACGCGTCGAGGCCGCGCTGGTGGCCTCCTCGGTGGGGGACACCATGGCACGGGACTGGGGCTATTGGAGCGGCAGCTTCCTGGGGGTCGTCTCTGGGCTGATGCTCTGCGCCGCGGCCGTCCTTGGGCCTGGGGCCGTCCAAAAGGGCCGTGTTTTCGGCCCTTTTAAGGGGGGGGGGCGGTTGGACGGTTTTTGCGGCGCTTGGGAGGAGGGCGAGGAAGACTGTCTTTTCTTTTCAGTTCGGGCGGTCGGCGGTTTTCCTGCGGCGTTTGTTTTGAAGGGGCTGGTGGTTTTGCGGCTGGAGAGGCGATTTTATTATTATTATTTTTAAGCGGCGGCTGGGTTCCGAAGGTTTGCCTTTGCTGATTTGCTGATTTCAACGAGCTCGGTTCAAGCCCGCCATTTTCGCATTGCCAGACTGCACTTGCTTGTTGAACCTTTTGACTTTTTGCTGTTCCATCATTGTCCCTTTTCACCAGCAAACCGTGAGCTGCGTGTTTGTTGCAAGGAAAAACCTGTGTGGCCAAGTTGCTTGGTCCCTGGACGCACCTGGTGTTCCCCCCAGGTGGGTTTTGCGCGCCTTTGAGTCGACCAGCTTTCATCCAGTCCCAGCCCGGTTTAGCTGTTTAGTGTTTAGCGGGGATTTCCGTATTTAATCCACTGAAAGTTCAAGCTTCTAGCAGGGGGTCTGACGACAGTTCCGAAAGCTGCGACATGAGTGTTTCTGCCATTTTCTGCCGTGTTTTGGGTGCCTAAAGAGGTTCCTGGAAACCCATCTAGAGGATCTCCAGTCTGAGAAAGGCCTATGCCCCTTTCACCTGCAGCTCTTTGATTTGCGCGCTTCTGAAAGTGCTAGGCCCTTGGATGGTTCTAAAGCCCACCTCCAGGGTGCCCTATTTTGAGACCTGCGCATGCCACGCGGGGCGGGGGGGGGGGGGGCGGCGCGAGACCGGTCTGTGCGGGGTATTCTGAGGCATGATCGGCCGGTCCACGGATTTGAAGGACGACACGGGCATGGTGGCGGACGGATACCTGGAGAGCGATCGGGAACTGCTGGCGCTGCAGGAGTACATGCAGGACAGCTATGGTTCGGTCCATGCCCCAAATATTACGAGTGAACCAAGTGCATCCAACCATGAAAACCCCAGAAAGTTGCTCACTTGCATGTTTTGGGCATCCACAGTATGTTTGTGTGTGTGTGGTTGCTAAAGGGAACCCATGTGTGTGTGTGTGCGGAGTCTCCGTGTTTTGACACATGATGTTGTGGATGGAGAAAATCCTGCACCTTGGATGCACGAACCGCTCGACATATCCGCTGAGCCACTGGTGCTGGATTTTGTCGGTCGACTACATTCCCCTGCAAACTAGTGGAAGGAATCAGGGTTGTCGATCACGTCTTTATATTTTTTCGATGGGTTGCACATTGCCGGACAAAGTCAGATCCCGAGATTTGGTTCCACTTACGGGCAATTTCAGGCAAAAACCCGCTGCCAGGTAGTACGGTTCACCCATTTTGTGAAGCCACTAAGAGGCCCGCTGTTGTTTGGCATTTCTCAAACGGATACCCAAAAAGAATAGGGGGGACGTACAGCTAGAAGTCTCATGTGCCTTGCATGGTGCGCTCTTTAGTTTGGAAACTGTCCAGATACAGGAAATGCACGATGGCAAGCCTCCCAGCAGGTTGTATGCAGAGCAAATCCTGAGCTCGTGTCCAATAAATTATAGACCAGTTAACTTAGGCGGCCTTACCCCACTCTTCCACCACCACGCTGGCCCAGAGAAACGTCTTCCTGAAAACGTCTTCTTTGCTTTCCTTTACCCGTTTAACCGGGTTTTTCTTCCCTGAACGTCACCGGAGTCACCGGATTTCCCACTCAAAAGTTGCAATCTGCCACTTCTGGAGGTTCCAAAAAATGGAAATAGAGGAGGAAGCCCGCGTCCCACGACGGGGCTACCGGAATCCGCAGGATTCCCGTGACAAGTAACGTGGCGCCGGAGAGGCTTTTCACTCAGAGATGATCCACGGAGCGCAGATCCGAAAGGTTTCACCGCCCCAAAATGATCGAATCGAAGGGTAGCTTCACTGGTCTTGGATCCAGTGGTTGTTTTTCTTCAATTTTATCATTTTTGGTCGGCTGTGAAAGCCAACGTGCTTTGGCAACCATACCAAGGGTCGTGAAGGTGAAGCCCGAATAATCAACAAAAAGCGTGGAGGTGAATTGAGGGCTTTGACCAGGCTTAGGTGTGGTATGTCTTCTTTGGGGGTCCCTGAGGGTCCTTGAGTTGCGATCTCAGCCGAGTTTACGGGGAAAAGAGCGGAGCTGATGAAGATCACGTGGTGAGATCCGCAAATGCAGCTGTCTTTAGTCCTGCTTGCCCCGGTTTGTTAAGCCCCCATTCCCGAGTCGATGTCTTTCAGGGTTGCTCCCGACCTCACCTAGCAGAAGGTTGAGATTGCGTCTGGTCTGAGCAACCATCTTTGATGGCCATGAGAAACAGCGCCCAAACAAAAGCCCTCCAAAATAGCGCCCAAAAATGCAGACTGGTTAATAGCAATTTGGGGCCTTGCAGAATTGTTCGGAGCCCTCAAATGGCCGGGCTGATCCTTTTTGTTACCCTAAATCCGTCAAAAGGCGTCTACCATTTTGCAACAGAAAGCTACGTCCGAACCATGAGACCTGTGAGCAAAGATCCAAGTTGAAGACTTGGACTCTGCTCTTTTCGGCGTTTCAGCAGCTTTCAAGGGATGGTTGTGACAGCGACATCGGGTGCCCAAAGTAGGTCGGTGTCCTTCTTGGGTCGGATTGTTCTCATTTGCGGGTGGCGCAAGTTGAACTTGTTGCCATGAGCATTTTAATGTTGACGCAGCATTGCAGGGTCTGAATCCCCACTAAAAGGGGACACCCCCCTATGAATCAACCGGGGGTTCTACTTGGATCCGGGGTGAACATTATTGGGCCAAGAGGGAACCGAGCAACAGGGCCCACGCAGCTCAAGTAGAGACCCTTAGCCCAGCGGCATGCGCTCTGGGGAGCGGCTAGGGTATGAACCGCCAGGCTGAACACTTGTAGGGCTATTGACCCGGGGGTCATTTGGTATATCTTTTCAAGTTGTATTTCACGGTTAGCTAAGTACACTAAATATGGACCAAAGGGTTCGGGGGAGAGGGGCCGGTGTGTAAAAGGGGTATGTACAAACTCCGCAGGCAGCTATTGGCTCAAATGGCGGAACCCCCGCGCATGCGGGGGCCCATATGAAATCAACGTGTTCAGGCTTCACTTGCCCAAGAAAGCGAAAGAGTGGAGTTGGCAAAACCCTTTGTGTGTGTTTTTGGGTTAGGGAAGCCAACAAGACACCCACCTTTCCTGGATAGGTTATGCGTAGAACCCATGCGGGCTAGAGGTACAGGTCTGAGTTGAATTTCGCCTTTGGCCGGGTCACACCTAGCCAGCTTCCGGATGGCAGAAGCCCAGGCGCGAAACGAGCTCATCAGAGGCCCTTCAATGTTCTTGTGTTTAGTTTGCTCGGTGGTACATGCTGTATGTTTGTTGTTCGTAGGGGGCTGCACAGAACAAAGAGTAAGGTGTTTTTTGCGAACCGATTTAGGGTTGGAAAGGACCGCAGTGTGCAGTTTCCCAAAAGGAAGCCACGTTGGGATGGATGATTGATCGCTTTGTCCAGATGCTCATGAAGCTTCGTTTCTCGGTGCATAAATTTTCTCTTTACTAGAATGATGGCAGAAGGGGAGATCTTGGATTTGGGGCAGAACATTGACCAGCAGTTTGCCTTGTGTTGGCCGAGATGGGCGGCAAAATCTACGGGGGGAGTGTGGGCCTGTGGCAGGTGCGCCGAGCTCCTTTTGGGGCGAGTGCCCGGTAGCATGTTGCGCGATTCTTCGGAACTTCGGGGAACTCAACATAGTAATGTTAACCCCGGATTAATACAGCCCTGGTGGATTAATAGGGGGTGTTCCCTTTTAGTGGGGATTCAGACCACTTTTGAAGGGAACACCACCCCTAATAATGGGACGGGCTTCTTCATCCTGGGTCAACATTATTTTGGACTACGCAAGTCTAACTTCTTTGCATCTGATTCTCCTCCATCAATGACCTATCCTGAACAGAAGCCAGACTGTTCGTCACTTGGAGCATCCCCCTCTTAGGACGGGTTTACAGATCCTGGCTCAACATTAAAATTGGTTGGATTTGAACCTTTCAACTTTCTGGATGACCTGCATGTTGTTCAGCAAGCAAGCTACACTTTCGGAGGCGTTGATCGCCAAGCTGTGATGCCTTTTAGGAAGCGGCACCCCTCGTTGTGGAGAGTTGGTCATTGGCTTTTACCGAGCAAAAGGAGTTTCTGCCAGTTGACGACCGCAAGGATGCCAAAGTTCGCTTGGGCCGTCTGTTGGCTGCACAGGAGAAGGAGATTCGACAGGTGAAGCTACCAGTCGGCTGGGAAGGCGGTCCGTGTTTTCGCTGGGCCAGAATGCCGGCATGGCTTTGGTGCAATAAGTAGCTTCCCTTTTGGTCCCCCTTTAAGTCCCAAGAATGAAACGCATACACAAGACGACACACCAAGACCCGTTCTGGCGAGAAGATCCCTTCTTGGGGATCCCGGAATGTGGCTGGAGACTCACGAAAGGGTGGAGACTCACCGGGCTCGTCCAAACCACTCACAAAAGAAAACAAGACACGTCCAAAAGAGGAACCGCCGTGGTTCGATGGCGCGGAGTCCATCACCCCACTTCCGCTTCGGTAGGTAGAGAACTTCTGTGCACTGCGCACCAGGAAGCCCGGAAGCCCTCCGGTTCAAACCTGCGATCAGTCATGACGCCCCAATCCCATGTAACGTTCATGAAAGGTCGGTGTAAAGCTCAAGGAGATGGAGCTGTTTGTTGCTTCAAAAGTTCGGGCTGTCTGGTTTGCACCCAGTCATTGTGGATTGAGTTTGTTGCAGTCAAATATCCGCCACTGAGATGAGTTGCAAACCATGATAGCGACCTCACAGAGAGACTTGGTGACCTCACCCACAAGCTCACTCGGAATCAAGCTGAAAGGAGGGTTCATTCTCCCGAACGAGATTCCCTTAGAGAGTGACAGACAGGGTGCTAAATAGCCCATATCTGTCCATTTCCCAGAATGGGTGTTTTTGTGTTTACACATTGTATGTTTGTGTGTTTGGTTGCGCATTTGGAGTTTGCATGGCTGCATGTTTGTATGGTTGTGTGTTTGCGTGCTTGTGTCTCTTTGGGTGCGTATGAGTTTGCGTGTTTGCGTGTGTGTGTGTGTGTGTGTGTTGTGTAGTTATGTGGTTGTGTTTTTGCGCGTTGCGTTTTAGTGTGGCTGTGTGCTGGTGTGCTGGTGTTGCTGTGTGTTTGTGTGTTTGTGTCTTTGTGTGTTTGGGGGGGGGTTGGGGGGTTTGTGAGTTTGTGTGGTTGTGTGATGGCATATTTGCGTGGCTGTGTGGCTGCGTGGTTGTCTTTGTGTGTATTTGCGGGTGTTCGGGTTTAGTGGCTGTGTGACCGCGTGCTTGTCTGTGTGGTTGTGTGCGTGTTTGTGTGTGAAGACCAAAATCCATTTCGTTTGGACCCGGTCCAAAAGTCCAAATCACAAGAAAGACGCACTCGTGGGCAATGTTGACCCCGTATTAATCAACCGGGACACCTATTGATAATTTGTTAATGTTGAAACGCATGTGGAAACATGAACTGTGTTTGAAATGCTTGACCATAATGGCCCCGGCCATTTTGGCTCAAGCTTTGTTCTTGGGTTCTCTGAACCCAACTTGTGTGAAAAAATTGAAAGGTAGCACTTCCGAACTAACCCCGAACCAGCAATGGCCTCCTCGGCAACTTCGGCAACTTCCTTCGAGTTGATTGAGGACCAGACACTCACCGCGGAGGAGGTGGAAATGGCCAGCCAGGAGGCCCAGGAAGTCCGCACACGCGAGGCGGCTGTGGCGGCCGGCCTGGTGTTGGATGAGCCCGAGGCGCCCCCGTCGGCATCGGCCACCGATGTGATGAACGACCTCTCCAGTGCACTGGAGCGGCTCCGTGTGGCCTTCTCCACACCGACTCCCGGCCTGGGTGCCCCTGGCCCCGCCGAGGACGAGGACAAGGAGATGGGCGATGCGGTCACCACGGAGCGGGCTACTCCACCAACGAAGAGGCTGAAGGGCTTCGTGGCGGCCTCCCAGAAGACCACGGCCCCGGTGAACAAACCGGTCTCCCTGGTGCCGGTGGATGGCCGTCCTGGCTATTTCAAGCTAGTTGACCTCCCAGACCTCTTCCCGGTCCTTCCGGCATCGGCGGCCACGTTGCTGAGGGACGTCACGGTGGAGGAGGCGGTCTCTCTGTTCCACAAGTTTGTCGGGAAGAATCTCACGGAGGACTTGGTGGTTCGCATCCTGGAGGCTTATGTTCCGATGAAGATCCAGATCCGGCAAGAGGAGGTCTGGGCCTCACAGTTCCAGCGGAATAAGGCATGCATTGGCACCCAGCGGATGCACAGACTCGATGCCGGCCACTCGGACTACAAATTCATGTGTAAGGCATGCGGCACGGGGTGGCCGGAGGCAGCCAATCAATGCTGGGTCTGCCCGGGCAAGGAGTTTGTCCCCTTCCAGGCACCCTCGGCTACCTACGAGGCGGACGGCGTCACGCTCATTGTGGAGGGCAAGCCGACCTGGATCCAGCAGCGGGATGGGGGAAGCCTGGGTGCCGCTGGCCCCGGTGGTACCCGGGCACAGGCAGACCGCAACCTGGTGGACGGCACGATCCTGGGGAGAGCTCCTCCGAAAACGGACACGGCCGAGGAGATCACTATGGCTGACGTGGTCCCGCTTAACAGGCGGGTGGACATCCGGCAGGAGATCCTGTCCATGGAGGCGGACGACGAGGCGTTGAAGGTCCGGGAGCGCCAGGAGGTCAAGGTCAAGGTGCAGCGGTCCCTGCAGGAGGCACAGGCTCAGAGCTTCCAGCTCTACCACCCCCAGGTGGACCAGGCGATCCGGAAAAAGGAAGAGCTGCATAAGGCCTTGAGGGAGCACCGGGAACCGACCCCGGAGGAGTCCTCGGCCAGGCGGCGGCACAAGGAGTTGGTCACGGATGAGATGTTGGACAATGAGATGGCAATCCTGGCGCCTCTCCAGGAGGGCATGCAGGCCCTGCCGGCAGAGGAGGTGGCCAACGAGGGAGCCCGGCCCTCAGGAAGGTCAACCTGGAGCGATTCAAGGCCAAGCTGCGAGACCAGTACCTGGAGGGAAAGGGTGTCGACGCCAGCCAGGCACTGGCTGATGCGATGGGCTCCATTCAGGAGGCGAACAAGCGCACCCAGGACACCAACCAGGCATGGATGCTTAACCACACCCTCCAGCCCCTGGAGGTGTCGGCATGGCCAGATGATCTCAGGCAGGCCCTGGAGAGGGGGCTGTTCTGCCCCCTGGAGCTGGATGACCCTGAAGACATCCCCAACGTGGGGGACATCAAGGAGAAGTACGCCCAATACATCCGGAGGCTCAGAGAGGCGCAGAACCCGTGGAACCAGGAGGCGTTGCTGGAGGAGATGCCCGATCTGGCGACACCGGCCCCCCCCAAGGGTGCCACTGGCCCCGGGGGGGACCAGTCAGGGCCACCGCAGGACCTGGACTCGGAGGAGGGTAAGCTGTCCCTGCTCTTCTGGGCGATGAAGAGGCACCAAGGGGAGCTACGGATGTTTGGGGGGATCTGGAAGAAGCACTCCAGCGGTGAGATCCCCAAGGGCGCGGACCAGCAATTCAAGCTCTCGCCGGAGGAGCTCCTGGCCCTGGAGCGCAGGACCCACCCACTCACGTGTGAGCGGGACCACATCGACCCGATCATCTACTCGGCCCTGGAGATCCGAGCGCAGGTTAACCGGGGTGAGCGCCCGGCGCCGGAGCAGGTGGTGGGGATCTTCTGGGCTAAGGGCGATGGCGTGTTTTGGACAAGGCAGACTCGCACGTGGGACCTGCCGAGCTTGACAGGGGTGTACGCCCATCGCTTCACCTTCAAGTACATCTACTCGGCTTGGACCACATTCCCGCTGGTCGTGAAGACGCAGCGACGGGGCCGCAATGCGGAGGGCTCGACTTCGGATAAGTGGATGGGGAACATCCTCCAGATGCGGAAGGAGGCGGTCCCCTTCCTGGAGAGCCTGGGAATCCCCAAGCCGCGCAGCAAGGCGGAATGGAGCTACATCTTTAAGGAGATGGGGACGTTTCTGGCAGCCAAGAACTTCATCGTCAATTGCCCATTGCCGGTGATGGAGCTCCCAGTGGCCCCCGCCCACGACAGCAAGGAGGCCCTGCGTTTCAGGGCGGTCTGTGACGAGCGAATCACACTTCCGCTGTCATCGTTGAGGGCTTTTGACTCGGTGTACACCAAACTGGTGGCGGGCCTGAGTAAGTCCTCCATGGTGGAGATCAAGGTCAACTGGCGTTGCAACGTGGTCCATGACTGGGTGGAGCCGGTCCCGCAGGAGGCGGCGGGGGCCCTGTACGACCGGCTGGGCTACTCCCAGGACCTGATCAGGCAGCTGGGCTGCTCCCCCCCCTTGGGTGCCTCTGGCCCCGGGGGCGGGGCGGCCAAGGAATCGGACCCCAAGGCCAAGATTCTGGCGGGAGCGGACACCACGCTCCGCACGCCGGACCAGGGTACCAGGCGGTACCCCCCGATCACCACGTCCACGGTCACGGCGGTCGCGGGCCGGAAGTACATCAACAAGCACTTCCCGAATGGAACCAAGCACGTGTTCTGGGCCTCGGTGGAGTGCGGCCTGGTCCTGCCCAGCATCAGCGCATGGGAAGTGGTGGGCAAAGAGAAGTTCAAGACCACCGGGGGCTACATGTGCAGGTTCTGCAAGGGCTTCTGGAAGGCGAGCCGTGGGGGGACCAGGCTGCTCCAGATTACGGGCTGGCACAAGGACAAGGCCACATGCCTGCAGCTGGTGATGGACGAGCCCCCGGAGCAACTCTATAACCAGTGGATCCGGGACAGGATGGAGTTCTACAAGCGGGTGGAGCCGACGGAGCCCCCCAGGGACGAGCGGCTAGTCCTTGGAGATGCGAGCACCCCGCGCATGCGCTTCAGCTCCTCGAATGGCCTGGGGGATGTCTCCACTGCCCTGTGGTCGGTCATCCTGAGCAACCCAGAGAAGTCAGGGCTGGCGGCCATCCACTCGGTGGCAAAGGAGGCGATCTTGAAGGGTGAGAGCCGCTAGGTCGTGTCTCACTACCCTTTTGGAGGTGGAGTCGTATGATCTCTCCCCACCGGGACTTGGGTGCCTCTGGCCCCGTCTTGGGTGGGGGGGAGGTGTTGGGGTGTTTCCCTTGTTTTGGGTTCATCATTCACCTTGGTTTCCCCCCCTGTTCAACACGCCACGACTGCCGGTTTGCCTCGAGCCGGAGGCTGCGCAATTTGGCTGCCCCAAGGACGGGCCGTAT